TGAAAGAAGGCAGTTCTACTCTGACCATTAAGGTGGTGATGAAAATACACATTGTTAATAGTGGCATGGAATGCTTGCATGGCTTGTGAGTGCATGCTCACAGTTTGAATACTTTGAATGATCATTACCATATTGAGTTAAAGCAAGATTACTAAAATAAAAGTCCGAACTTTGTGATTAGGACTAAACTAAGAACCCATTACTCCCAGAGTTATACGTAGAAGAATGGGGTTAGTTCACAGAAATGTCATGAACTTAAGGATGAGAATTGGAACCTGAATAGGAACGTTGGAACACATTGACCAAGCTCATCACGGCAGTGTTGTACTCGTACTCGTACTCAAACTCATGACAAGTGCTCGTACTTGTAATTTACTCACATTAATGTTTTCCCACTGAATGAACTTATTTTTGAGAGGTATCTTACAGGTAGAACTCCTTTCCCACTGTTTGATTTAGCAGGGTTTAGCATATGTTTAATGCCTCATCTGATGGTAAAAAGTCCTTAAGAATATTGTGTTTATCAAAATGTGCTCGTATATGGAAAGCTGCTTGTACTTGTGGATATTTCATACTCATATCCATGGTAACTTAATACTCACACTCATACACACACTCATGACAATGGATCTGACTGTATAGTCATGGTGAGTTGAATATGCAGCATCTACAGATATAAGCATGAGTACTGTAGTACAGATTTGCCCAGAAATACAGTGCAAGAATATGCTTGAGTGTAAGTATTCATGTTTAACTTATTAAAATGTTTACTTAATTTGGGTTTAAACTCTGAGTTAGTGTATACGGTACTTTTCAACACCATCATACATGTAAGTGAAATAATTTGTGTGGATCTGACCAGGGTAAAGATGTGAACCTTGCCTGACACCTGCAGACATCCAGATAACAATTGGTGGTACAGTGTGTGAGGTCATTGACCTCAAAGCAGATGCATTAACTTGTGAGATCCCAGACATGAGTCAGGCTGTGCAAGATCCTCTTGGCTACAAGGTTCAGGTATGTACAAGGTTCAGGTATGTAGGAGGTTCAGGTATGTACGAGTTCAGGTATGTACGAGGTTCAGGTATGTACAAGGTTCAGGTATGTACAAGTTCAGGTATGTACAAGGTTCAGGTATGTACAAGTTCAGTTTATGTTCAAGGTTCAGGTATGTACGAGGTTCAGGTATGTACGAGTTCAGGTATGTACGAGGTTCAGTATACATGTACGAGGTTCAGGTATGTTACGAGGTTCAGGTATGTACGAGGTTCAGGTATGTACGAGGTTCAAGTACATTTTGTTTTATTGAAACGTCGTTTTAAAGGTGCAGTATCTTGCAAATTCCATAGTTAACAAAAATTGTACATTTCCTTCTAACATATCAAGACAGAAGTATTTTTTTACCAACCATTTTTCTTTGCACAGAAAGCATAAAATCACAATATTGAAAATGAAAGTTTCCAAAAACAATATTACGTAAATGTTTCTGCAATTTTTCACATAATTTGTAGTGTTCAATTTTTAACCCATCACTTCAAATATTTCATGTTTAAATGAATACATAGCTCCCTAAAGAATATTGAAATCATCCATTTTTAGATTATCAAAATAATTAAGACAGTATAACTTGTTTACATGTAGGAGATAATTGACAAAAAAAAAGGAAATGTTCACAGGTTCAAGGATTTATTAATAAACCAATGATTTCTAAGATGCTTTGAGTTGTCTTCCAATAGTTGAATTCCATGCTTGGCTGTTATTGACTACTTCGGTCATTGCCCCCTCTCATCATGCTCTCCTATCCCCCCTGCAGCTTCAGGTGGCATCCAGCTCAACTGTGATTGGCTACATGAAGATTGACCCTCGACCTTTCCCATGGTATGCCATTGTCATAGTCATCTTAATCGTCGTCTGTATCATCGTCTTCATTGTTGTATGGCGTGTCCGTCAGCAGTCCAAAGAGGAAGGCCCAGACTTGGCAGCAGGGGTGATAGCGCCGTCTATCATGTTTCGTCAGACCAGCAGCACAGGTGGTGAGTCTGCTGAGGCTAGGGTTATGCCTGCTTTCACACGTCTCAACAGTGAGTGTCTTTCTCTCCTTTTCCTTGCATGGGCAGAGTAGGGCAACTAACCAGGTTTGGCTACCGATTTGGTTTCTTGTTTCTTTTTCATCAACGACATTTGTTTTTATTCATTTGAATCCATGTTTACATGATCCTTTCATTTGCTGCTTCATAGTACATCTAGTAAATCTATCTTTGTTTTTAGATAAAAACCTTATACATGTGAAGAAATTTCAATATTTAAATGGCTAATAGAGTAGGGCAGGCCAGTAAAGTTTGTTAAAAGTGTTGAAACTCTAACAGGGTGGTTCCAAGATTGCAAAAGTGCTACTACAGTTTCTTTGCCCATCAATAATAAGTCTTATTTGTTTAGTTCATAACATTAGTTCTACATTTGTTTTTCGGTCACATACATCAGCAGCAGTTTGTACTTGTATTGGTACTCGTACTTGAGTACATTTTTTTGGTACTTGTACTAACACTTGTTTCTCATATTATGGCAGTCTCGTTTTCCATAAATAGTTATTTTTAAATGTACTCAAATGACATTACCTTAAGTTTTATAAAAAAACAAACCGATGGCAGTAATTACCAGCTTCTGAGCATTTCAAAGTCTCCAATAGAACAATAGTTAATATGTCATTTTCAAATTTTCTTTCCATGTCATTTGTTTGAGTTTGAGGATTCTAACCAGGTTAATTGTTTTAAGTTTTCATTCCATCTAATGGTTTTGTTTTTATTATATTCTGATACACATAAAAAATGTGACACAGTAAACAGTTGTGACATTGTACATCCTAGTTTAGTTTGATTATAACCTATGTTGAAGCTGGTGTATACATGCTTTCTGGGTGTGGCACCTTGAAAAACAGATGTTCAAATCCAATTGATAATTTTCTAGCGTTACAATTAGTTATGAGCTTTCCAATGAGACATCACACAAAAAATCGGCCCACGACAAGTAATCAATTAATTAATTTCAACTTTTGAATTAAGAGCGGGACACTCCTAATTCGTTCTGGATAGTGTGCGCAATTTCTGAACTGAAGCGCGCCGTTTAAAAACCACGTTATAAAACTGGGATAAAGGCCTGCAAAACAAACAAGGAAATGTATTTGTTTCAGGAAATTATATGCCTTTAAATTTCATTTGGAAAAGAAAATCGAAATTTAGAAAAAAAACATGTATATACCAACTTTAATTTTAATTGGACAGTAAGTGTGAATGACTTTTCATATTCTTGCAAAGAAGAACAGATCACATAGAGTTTGAAAAGTGAAGATAATGTTTGTTTTGGAACGACACATAAATCAATATATACATATTGCATGTAACCTCAGATCTCCTACCTTTCTACAAACCTTGTAATTTACTCCGATTTATCTAACATGACACAATTTGTTTTCCTCCCTAATTATTGGTCAATTAGATTACATGAGAACACCTTCATCGTCAGCAGAGTCTGCCTTTGCTGGTATCCCTGATGAGAACAGACCACTGTTGGAGGTCATTCATAAGGATCTAGCCATGCAGATTAGTGAGTTTCTCATCAATGAAGATAACCTCAAGCAAGGAGATATGGTCGGTCAAGGTCAGAATCATGTACTACAGTATGCCACCCATCACCAGTAAAGCAGAGCCTATCTAGTCTTGGGTCTTAATATACCCAGGGTTGTGGAATTCTCTCTTCTCAATGCACTCCAATATTTACTTCCTGCTTTTGTTCTGTAATGACAGACCCACAGAGCATGCAAGTGTGTACCCCATGTATAATTTTAAGGTGTGAACCTTGGCAATGTATTATGCCAAATATGTTTTGTGAGTATGACCATTTGGTATAGTGTGATGTATCGTACTGATGTATCACCTGTGCGCATCATATGGTTGTGGCTTGTTTTGAAGCATGTAGACCACAGTGTATCACATGTGTTACAGTTTAGTCCTACTACAAAGAATGGTCCCAGTTATCTCGGGGGGGGGGGGGGGGTTGGGGGAGCTACAGCACCCGATTTCACGAAACTCTTCGTAACTTACTATGCGTCGCAGCGATGCGACGCATCGTATCCCTACGATGCGTCGCAGCTGCGACGCGTCCTGCGATCCATTTCACAAAACGCGTCGTAAGTGCGACGCATCGTATGTGTATTTATAGCACAACTCGGTGATGTTTTTTGTATTAAGTCAGCATACAGTAAATAGTCGTCTGGTATTCAACAAAGAGTCGTCGGATCTCCGCTCGAAATTTGTTAACACGTAGGACAAAATGGCGGCGGTGCGATGCAATTTGAAACGAAAACGAGCTCTCAGTGGACTGTGTAGCTACTTTGGAATTTCAACTGCAATATTCTAGGGTAATTCATAATTGTTCAATGAATTTTCTATTTAGAACTTTACACACCTTGCCTCGGTATTAATATCTCGTTTATGTAATGTTTATGGCACAAAACTGGCTAAAAACGGACTCTTCTTATTTTGCGACGACCTCTAGACATGTCGTAACTTGCGACGTGTTTTAAGCCGTTGTCAAGCAACTTACGAAGTGTTCAACACATCGCAACTTTCGTGAAATGGATTATACGACGCGTCGCGAGTTGCGACGTGTAACAAATCGTAACTCGAGTTGCGACATGTCGCAGCGCTTTGTGAAATCAGGTGCAGGGTAGTGAATGTCTCAACTGTATTTATTTAACTTGTGCCGCACTGTCCCTCTCTCTCCCATACAATGAGAGCCAAGTCGGAGACACCGTTCAATCTTGGCAGCAGTAGGATAAAATCAAATCATAAAGAATATCAAATGTCAGACCAGGTCAACCAGGATATGCAGTGTTCCTGTAGATAAGCCTTGTTTCAGAGTGAAATATTCATATTTCAAATCCTCACAGTGTTTCTTGCGTTAGAATTTGTCAAGTGGCATAAGTGAGGTCATCTCATTAATTTGTCTGATTTCTGAGGCAAAAGGCAAGTTAATTGCCTGTTGGTTTGTGTGTTTTGCACAGGTCATTTTGGTTGTGTATACCAGGGCAAGGTATGGCAGGATGGTACCTCCTTCCCTGTTGCCATCAAGTCCTTACTGCGGGGGGAGCAGGAAGATGTCACTAACTTCTTACGGGAGGGCATCATGATGAAGGACTTCAAGCATCCTCACGTCTTGGAGCTGATTGGTGTTTGTATCAATAGCAATAATATGCCACTTGTTGTGCTGCCATTCATGAAGCATGGAGATCTGCTAACCTACATACGGGACCCCAAAAATGTGAGACTGTCTTCAATCTCTCTGATTTTTTGTCTGTTGATTTTCAATTGAACAAAGCAAAATACAGACTTTGGATGGGCATAAACACTGCAACCATCTAAATAATATTCCATTTTGTTTATCCTTTAAATTATAAATTGCAATTTTTTTGTGTTCATTTTTTTATATATAAGTTTGATGGAATTTTGTGCATGGAATTGTGTGCAATTTAATACAAGGTTTGGCACCCTGTCACTGTGTCAGTTTCCATTGTCTTCTGAGTCTTTTCTGAATGCTAGCCAAGTCCTCAGAGCCTCCACTGTCTTGATGCTTTAACACAGGATTTCCTGCATTTTAAAGTTGCTGTGATATTCTTTTCCTGTAAGCCTGACATTTCTTGCAAAAATGCCAGAGCCCATCTACATCCTTGGAAAGTTCTTTTTGTCACTTCCTGATGCATGTAGTGTTATTTTTCAACTGAATTGCCATTACAACTCTCCTTGTTCTTCCATTCAAATGAACGAGTGCAGGAGCTAACAGCCAGAGACCTGCTTGAATTTTGTCGGCAAGTCGCAGAGGGAATGGCCTACCTAGCCAACCGGAATTTGTCCATCGAGACCTGGCAGCCAGGAACTGCATGTTGGATGACAACCTGCGAGTCAAGATTGCCGATTTTGGCCTGTCTCGAGACCTGTATGAAAGGATTACTACAGTGCTAAGGATAAGACAGCTAAGCTGCCTGTCAGATGGATGGCACTGGAAAGTCTGGAGAGGAATGTCTACAACACTAAGACTGATGTGGTATATTCATAGCATTGTTCTTTTTGGAATCTGCACAACACAGCAAATGTTAAGGCCTCCACTCGATAGTACTTGAGTAAATGTACATGTTGTTAGCATCAAACACAGTGTAGGCCTATTTGTTTGTATTTCTTGCACTTTACAGAACATGACCTTGACATGCCAACAAATGAAACTAATGCCTACATGTATGAAGTTCACATTGTGTTAAGCAGCAAGATGGATTTGCAGAGCTTCATCCCCCCTCCCCCAACAAAACAAACCCTGGCTTTACTTTTGCCTCATCTTTAGTATTAAATTGAAATTTCCAAGAAATTCCAACCCTCCAACATTAACTCCAACAGCATATTTCTAATGATGTCAAAATATTAAGTTGCTCTTAAACTAGAGTCCTGTGATGGCAGCACATCAAACAGAGCAAGGAAGTGAGGCCTCACCAGAGAGGTAAAGATGTAGAAATGTACATCCTGAGGACTAGAACTAAAACAACCACACAATGCTCAAGCCCAATTTGGAAGGGGGCATCGCAATGCTGATTCATTGCCAATTGACCAATGAATTCTGCATGAGATACAAGTATATATACATGAGATATTTAAGCTTGGTGAGCATGATGTTTAGTGGCCAAATTGACCAAGGCATGTCACTCATGTATTGTTTGAAAATGGGTACATCTGCTGAACACCCTTGCCTGCAGGCCAAGATGATATCCTTATTGGTTCTTGATCACCCTTTTCTCCTCTGCAGTGGTCATTTGGTGTGGTGATGTGGGAGTTTCTAACCCGTGGCATGACTCCATATCCTTCTGTGGATAACTGGGATATCAGTTCCTACTTACAGAGAGGCCGCAGACTGCACCAGCCTTTGCATTGCCCAGACCATGTGTAGGTTCCCAAGTTACTGTCCCTTTCACTGGCTACACACTGAAATCAACAGACTGATACATTAAGCCCCCCCCCATGGTGTTTGGACCAATCACGGGCGTGACTCATGTCCAACATGCGTGCACACAAGTCTGACATGCATGCTGCACATGCATATGATGTGCACAGCTGGAACATGCAGTGTGGCATTGCAGAGGAGCATGCATTGGTTGCCTAGGTGCGCAGTGGGCGGTGCTTAAAGTATCAGTCTAACATGAACAGGAGGTCTTTATTTAGCATGGGGAAACATCATTTTTCAGAATCTAAAATTGTCAAGATAAGTCTTGAATATAACAGTTTTGTGTTTTAGACATTTTTAAAAAAGTTTCTGTTTGAAAACAGTTTTTAAAAATTCTAACATTTATTACCAGCAGTGTGAATCTGTCATTGTTTTATCACTGAAACTTTTTTAGTATAGACCGACATTTACATCGAATTACACTTTCATATACAGCATGTCCCAAAGTGTAACTACAAAACCATGACTTCAATTTGAAAATGTTTGATTGTGCAAATACTCCAGGGATTGAGGCCTTGCCCTCAATTCCTCTGAGTTTCATTTAATTCCAGTCACGCATCACTGCACAGTTCTCAATTGATCACAACAACATTTTTGGACACTGTGACCAAGTCCCATGCCTTAAGAAATTTCAGTACTGAGGTATGTAAGCTGTGTAAATCCTGCATGTTGTGAAAAAAAGGCTGATGTGGTTTGGGATTGGAATCATTTGCCCTTGAGCATTAAACTGATGTCTTGCCATGATGACTGATAGCCAGGCAAATGATTCCAATCCCAACTGCAGCCCTTTTCACAACATGTAGGATTTTACACAGCTTACATGACACAGCACAGAAATTGATTAAGGCAAGGAACTTGGTCACAGTGTCCAAAAATGTTGTTGTGATCAATTGATAATTGTGTAGTGATGCCTGACTGAAATTAAATGAAACTCATAGGGGTTTGGGCCAAGGCTGAGGAGTATCTGCACAATCAAACATTTTCAAAATTGACCTCATGGTTTTGTAGTTATTTCTAAAATAGTCAGACGGACAGTTTTTTTGGGGACAAACTATAGTATAGGATCATCCAGGGATCTAAAGGTGTGTGATCTAGTTGGGATTATTTCGGTGTATAGGATAAGATTGACAGAGAGCCATTTAAATCATCAAAACTTGTTTCAAAAACAGATAGCGGGGCAACTATTCATACATGTTTTTTACTGACATCGTATATTGGCCAGGTATCAGATCATGATGAACTGTTGGTCCGCAAGTCCGGTGGATCGGCCAACCTTTGAGGATCTGGTCAGGGAGATAACAGACATCCTGATGGCATCCGTGGACCAACAGTCGCAAGAAAACCAGGTCTATTTCAACGTTGTACCTAGCATCAACTAACATACTCCAGAATGCTCTATCCAATATCTTCAGAAGATGACTGGTAGCCAGCATCAACACTCAACTTGTGGGTAATCTTATTATGAACCAACATTCCATTCACATGAGTTGAATGTTGTCATAAGACCAGCAGCTTCAGAAAAGGACCAGATGTGTTTTAAGACTGGTACCCAACGTAAACAAAACTAATTATGGATATATTAAATGTAGATTTTTTTTTTTTTTTGGAAGCAACAAAAATGTTTAAAATCTAGAAGGAATTTAACAAATAACCTGATCAAGTGTTGGCTCTGTGAATGCTGTATATTTCTAGAAAACACAATATTCTGGATATCTCGATTTCAATTTAAAAGACGCCGAGTCATGACACACCCGGAAATCAACATTCGGGACATGATTCCCAATCAGCCGATTGTTGCTACGTGATGTCATACACTGAACTGACGATTCTCATTTATAAAAGCAGCCACGTGTGCGTCATGTCAACGCGCTTGCACCCATTCATGGATTACAAACCAACTGCCAGCGGAAATTTCCAAACATGTGTCACTTGATGCATCTTTGGGAATGACCTTTTTATTATTGTTTTCTTCAAAATGACAGCATGCCAGAAGGAATAATTTCACAGGGAGTTTAGTGCCATTACTATCTTTAAACCAAGTAAGCTTTTTAACAATAATTTGGGCGGTTACTTTTTGGATATATATTCAAATGGTCTACTCTACCTTTAAAGTAAATCTACACCTTGTAAGTGATATTGGTCTGGAATAGTTTAACCAGTTCAATTGATCATTTTATCAGAAGTAACAGTTATCTGCACACGTAGTTCTGGTGACTCAGAGGTATGACAGCTAGTTTTGTGTAAAAAAACCAATCTGTCCTTCGTTTGTACATGCATGCCAATATTTGTTGCACATCTGTAGCATTATTCAAATACAACATGGGTTGAGCAGAAAGTTACTGAACCTGTATTTTCGAGTTACTGAACCCATATCCAGAGTAGGGAATAGCAATGTAGTTTTTAGAATGACCTCCTCCTTCAAGATTTCTATGAACCTGTCTGTGCTTGTTTATTTCACACTAAGTAAATAAAATGCTTTGTACAGAAATTGTGTACATTGAATGCATGATTCCAAACTTTGACTTTCATTGGAACCGTTTTACATTTTATACCTGCCTCTGCCAGCAACAACCAACTTGGACATGCACATTCCACCATTGTACAATATATATTATTGGTGCAACATTATATTTGATGGACAGTAACACTGCTTTAATGAATTGAGAGTAAGCCAATGAATCAAAGTTATAGACTTAATGTAAATATTATTCACCAATATGAACCATTCCATAAAATAGTACATTTCCATGTAGGTAGTGTTTACATCTTGTCAAATTCTGATGCCATAGTCATATTCATGGATTTAGGCTCTTGCCATGTAAATAAACTCGTTTAAGGCTTTGTAAATAACAAATAAATTTTGGAACACTTCCCACTTTCCCAATTCATGTATGTCACAAGGCTGAAAGCCTAGTGGGCGATGGAAAACTGACGCACTTTTTTCCATGTTCCACGAGCACAAGTGGGATAATAATAAACTTGACCCACAGTAAAGATTGAATGTGAATGCTGTACACAACTGTTGTATTACATGTACGTGCAGTAGGAATAGCATGTGTACACCTCACAATAGTTTTATATATGGAGTGTGATATGGACTGTGGCGTTCGGTATAATAGCAGACAATTGTTGCTATGGATCAAACAATTAGGATCGAGGATTCAAGTTTACTTGAAGGTAAAGGACGTACAAATGGGAATTGTTGAGTCTTATCAAATCCTTGAGAATTGCTTATATTAATCTTGAATTTTTTTAATATTCTTTTTAAAGATATTTTAATTATATTGGCAAACATATTTTTCTATTAATAAAGGTGCTGTTAATTCATTATTCAATTTTGTCACAGAGAATATTTTAAAGATTAAAAATAATAAAACCTGATGAACACCATTTTGTTCCCTATTAAAATCCCGCTGTCTCCTGGCTGCCCAGAGTCAGGGTTGACAGGGTTTATATAGTTTAATGCAATTTAAGAAGACAATAAAGTGAAAAATGAATTACATTTCCTGTGATATGTTGTGCATGCAACTTATTGACAGCATATTTTTAGTGATTAAGTATGGCAAGCATTTTTTTAAATTTGCTTTGCAGCTTCATGAAATATGGCCAAGATGCAAGTGTTCGGGGCAGTCAGGTATGTCTAGTTTGTTACACCCATGATTCAAGTGTATAGTGCATGTAGTTGGCATCTACAGCATGAGTTCCCATTTAGTATTAGCAGGCCTCCACCAGGCAGGAATCAACAATGGGTTATGCATCCTACACGTAATTGTCTGTCTTTCTGTGCCTTTATCTGTGGCTGGAGCGGTGTTTACTGTGGCTGATGAGGCCAATGGGAGAGTAGCAGATTCTGCTGCAATGGCCACATTGACGCTCTGCCTTGCCCTTCATGAGCTGGTGGCAGAGAACACCTCTCCATTTGATACCGTCATCTGTGAAGTCTTTCCAGCACTCAGGGCAAGATGGTGTTCAACCCCCCCCCCCCCTAACATCCATCCCCCACCTCCCTGTTGCGAGAGCGCTGGCTACACTGCTGGAATCAGACACAAAATATCCTGAAGGGTATTGGGGCCAGGACGTAGCTTTCTTGGACACTGCTGTGGATTACACTACATGTATGTGATCAAGTTGAATATAAACATGTGAATCAGATTTGGTAAGAGGCCTAAGATCACCAGTAGTGGCCCGTCCTACTCCCCGTTTTTAGCATCATCTACATGTATACAACTGCTCAATCGCACTATTATCCCTATTCATATCTTTTTCGGTCTAAACCACCGAACAAGTCCAAGAGTTGACAATTTTCCAACCACTGAAATTTGTTTTATTTGGCCTGCTGGTTTCCATTTGAGGTCATTTTATGGTGTGCATGGTGTACTCAACACTGATCTCCTTAATGGAGACCATATCCGTGGTTTTCTAGCACTTGCTTGTAGCTAGCATCCACTGTGCATACTGCGCGCAAGTGGCGTGATGCACAGGGTCTCCGGTTAACACTCTTTGGCAGTGTCAAATAATGAAATAAACTTGTGCTTGGCCAGTTGGCTGCCATCTATGCCCCCAGCCTGTTTTAATCGTACTTGTTTAAAACCGGCCAAGCACATATTTATTCTCATTCATAAATACCTTACGGTCAAAAAGTGTCAAAAGATTATCAGTTTACAACAATTTTGTTCAACAAGTTTACTTCATGTTTTTGTGAAACACCCCTCCAGCTATGTTTATGGTACACGTGTGCGCCTCGTGTAAGCAGATGACTAAAACTCTCATTATATGGAGATTGGCGCGTACTGTGCGATGTCACTCAGAAGGCAGAAGTGCCAGTGAAAAGTGAATTAAGGACTCTTTGTATTACCTATTAGACTTGTTTTGACTACAGTCGAGTCTCGTTAATACAAACTCGTTCGGACCTAGCCAAATTGTTTGTTATATCAGAATTTTGTACTAAGAGGAACATCAGTCCCATTCATTGTGCACATAAATGCACAGTCGGGACTAAGGCTTTATGTTTGTTATAACCAGAATTTTGTATTAACAGAGTTTGTACAAACGAGATTCGACTGTATATAATATCAGCATCCAATCTTAAACATAGTGTTAAATACCTCCAAAGCACACGTTTATTCCCTTATTTAATACCACCCATGTTATGGGTTCTCAACCAAGGTATTTATTAGATTTATTAGTGGGCATATCAGCTGATTTGAGCAAAGTGGAAGATGCCCTGGAGAGTGGGCTGTGCACTTTTATATCACTTGAAAGGAAAGTAACAAATAAGTTAAAAGACTGTCTTTTCCAAAAATTAACCAAAACAACATTCCAAAAATGGCACTGTATACATGATCTATCCTTCACAATGAACATAGGCAAAACTTTATTCAAAATGCATGGATAACTTAACTTGTCTGTATGAAAACAGCTGATAGAACGCTGTCTTATTTAGACCTGGACTAATTCTGAGAGAACTACTAAATAGAAAGTATGGTACAACTATGGTATGAATGGTGTTATATACACATATACGCCATGCTCATAGTCTTTGGCCTGTTTTAATACAAACATTCAAATTCTGTCTTGTAAATTCACTAGCCTACAAGGTTTTAAATTATGTCTAGAGATCGTACACAGAATGTATCAGAAATTTAATTAACTGTACAATATTTGCCTTTCAATAGTTTATAGCTTTTCTCTTGAAAAATTGGGCAAATATATTATTCCTCTGTAGATTCTGTACAATTTTTTGGAGTCAAAGTTTTATACATCTATCGACACTCTGAAAGGATTGATGGAAATGAACCGATTTGGGTTTTGTTTCAAGACTTATTTGCTCCTAAGACTAACTGGCTTTTATTTACAGGCCTATTTGGAGAAATCTATCCAATAAAACTTGTCAGGAATTACACAAATGTATCACACAGCTGCCAGAATTAAGATGATTCAAACAAGAAAAAAATGATGAAACCTGAAACAATGTAAACTTTAAAATAATTTAATAAAAAATTTGCAGATAACATATAATCAAGTTTGACATTGAAAATGTGATTGTTAAATCATCTCAATTTTACAAGTATTGTATTAAACCCTCAATATTCAGCTGTGAAAACCTAATCAAGTCCTGTGGTATTCATGTGATTTTGGGGAAACAAATCCAGGGCTTATTTGCTAAGTTGGGTAGCTCAGTCACAGTACGCAATGATTCATTTCAGATGTGAACAGGATTACCACCAAATTGTCAAGGAAGAATACAAAACTGTATCCATTCTACCAATATTTCCTTTTGCTAAATGTTAAGTGTTAATTAATCCTATTTGGGAAAGGAACGTCTACATGTACATTCCCCAACATCATCAAATACATTTCTTTCCTAGTGTAATCACTGAAGGGCATTTGGCCATAATTCAACTTCAAAAATATACCAAATATATATGAACATTACAGAGAAATAACAATTGGTTTCAGTACAAAGAATTAATAATAAACATACACACATTCTAATTCACAATCTACAAATAGAAAAATTACAATAAAAAAGCCTCTTCCCTAGTTTGAGAATTGGGAAGATTCAACTCAATTTGATTCCTTTTTTAACAACAACTTTTTGAACTACACA